CCCATGTTTATAGTCACTATGATTCACTACCCCTGTTTCTTGTCACTTTGAATCACTACCTTGTTTCTCGTCACTGTGATTCACTACCATTGTTCTGTTTCACTGATTCGCCACCCCTGTTTCTTGCACTATGCTTAACTACCCTTTTACTTATCACTGTGATTCACTACCCTTGTCCAGTCTTTATTATAGAACAGACCTAGGCTTAATTTGAATTAGTGCTTAAAATAACTTAGCCTATATTTTGTGTATAGAAAATATAAGCATATGTGTAATCAAGGGTATTATTCGACCACAACCATTTTGAATAAATAATTCGGCTTTGATACCGGATAATTTAGTTTTATTGCCAGTTTAGTGGTGACCAAGAGTATTTACAACTGTTTTAAGTAAATAATGCCGTTTTAATAACGCTAGCTTTTCAGAAATTTAAATTGTGTAATACGTTGAGAAGACAACGAGGCGGAACGAACCGGAATTGTGTTCCGGTCCCTAATTTTTTTTTTTATCAAATCGTTCCTGTGGTTAAACTACTCAAGCACATTTGTGCACCATGAAACTGCAGTTCACAAATTGGATATCAAATCTGCCGTTCCACTTGTTCATTTTTTACAACTCAAGCACTGGATGAAATGATGATATTTGTTTTTCTAATCTTTTCAGATGGAACTTATCTGTGTAAAATAATACAGATTTCGATAATACAGGGTAGTTATAAAGTATTACATACGGTTCAAGAGTTGAAATTCACAGTTTATGATCGTTTATTGACATGATAGATACGATGACAAGTTAGCCGCCACGTGGAGCAACATTTTAGCTACAGTATTTCTGCGGCATTATTTCCTGTTAAACAGTAGAGCTGCGTACTCGTGCTTCTAATTTAACTGCCTGCATGACATGTAAACAGCATTTAATAATGGTTGGAGACGACTTGAATGGGTAATGAAGAAAACTTTAATATAAGTTTAACATAACAGCAAATGTACAACGTTTCGACAAGGTACCTGATGATGACAAGCTTTTCTTCATTACCCATTCAAGCCGTCTCCAGCCATTATTAGTTTCAAAGTGGGTTCCTCGTCATCGAATTTGCAGGTTCTGCTTTTACACGAAACGGCCTGGAGGCGAATTCTTTGTGTTCCACATGCTATCACGGTCATACCCTCAGCAACTTAATCTAGTGCACACCGTAAGAGCTGTTCATTCGATATGATATGATAAACACTACAACTTATATTCTAGCTGGCCTGATGAGCCTGGTATTTGATTGAAGGCCTCGCTGGCACTGGATATAGCAGATATAGTGTGGTTGACATATTGTTATACATTTTTCTTTAATTTCACTCATAAGCTTTTAGAAGTACTTATGTCCTGTCTGAGCCACACCCTTTCTGACCCGAGTACAACTTACAATACTTTAAAATTAAAACAGTTCTAATGCACGTGGGCTATAATTTCATTCCGGTATATCTAGACGAGGGGAACATGAGTTGATTTTTTTAGTTCTTGTCCCTTGGCGAAAACTACAGGTTTTTCCAGGGCCTTATATTGACGTCATTATACACGTCATTATTTGATAACAAGATAACTCTTCAAGTCCGTTACGAAAGTTCGCTTTTTAGTAACGTTATAAGAGTGTATTATTCTCAACCATCTGGTAGGCTACGACCACGCTTTAATAACGTTATCAGGGTGTATTATTCTCAGCCATCTGATATAATACGTCCATGGTTTAAATTTAATATAGTTATCACGGTGTGTTATTATCAGCAAGCTGGGTACGATACATCCAGACTTTAATAACATATTACCTAGTGTATTGGTTTCCGTTACTTCGCTAACATACGGTCAAAATTTGATAATGCTATCATAATGTATTATTCTCAGCCTGTAGTAAAGTTATTGTAGTTCTATACATTTGACCTTCAGTAATATTATTGTAATCTATTAAACTTGGTTATTATAGTTACTACCACTGTGCTAACTTACTAACAAAATTGCTTGTGGCAATAACATAGAATGTTGTTTAATGCATGTGCACCTTTGTAAACAGTTGTCAAAATATTGTCACATGACAGTAAGTTTTTGCTATTATAACTGAGGGGTAAAAGTATTGTTGGCACAGGCAAAACAATGTGAAAAGGAATAAATCACTGATAGAAATGTGTCAAAGTATTGTTGCCACAGACAAATGCATGTGAATAGGAATAAATCACTGATAGAAATGTGTCAAAGTATTGTTGCCACAGACAAACATGTGAATAGGAATAAATCACTGATAGAAATGTGTCAAAGTATTGTTTCCACAGACAAATGCATGTGAATAGGAATAAATCACTGATAGAAATGTGTCAAAGTATTGTTGCCACAGACAAATGCATGTGAATAGGAATAAATCACTGGAAGAAATGTCTCAAAGTCTTCTTGGCACATTCATCTGTAATATACCTTTAACAGAAATGTTTGTAAAAAATCCTTGTCAAGAGTAAAAAAATAGCCACTGATAAAAATCTTTCAAATTGTTTTTGGTACACCAACAGTAACATATTACTCAGAAAATATTGGTAGTTCCCTAAACATGGTGCCAAAAGTAATATACTGACAGAAATGTTTCAAAATGTTTGTGCTGTTTTATCCTTATCTCCTGTTTCCTGTGATTCTCAACCTGCTCTCCTTGGTGAAATATCTATGGGTCAATATTTAGTATTCCCTCCCTCACCAGATGTTGGGTTTCATGCACAGCATTTTGGGGATCAACTTTGATCAGGGGTTAGTATGTCTCGTCCTCCTGAAGATCATGTTCATGCATTTTATAGATCTTCCTTCTCTTATCTTGGTTCCCAACATTTGGAATCTCTCATTACATTGTTGATTCAAATCCTAATGCATTGATGAATTTCTCACAAGCTCAATTTTCCCACAGCATTAATGACTAAGCAGTTGCTGGCTCCAGCAATTTACTTGCTTTCTGAAGGGTTTTCAGATGATCTTCACTGTCTTCTGTTTACTACGATCATGTGGCATTAATTTTCAGCCATGGCTCTTCAGCTTCTTGTTCTTCGTCCATTCACAGAGTCGAGGATTACAATGTTGGTGACTAGGCCCCACAGTCAGGGCCGGGTTTTTCCATGTTTGCCATTTACAATGGGTCCTACAGGTTTTTTCAGGAGGCAGGAGGTTTGGCCATTCACTTCCCTCCCTCCCCATTGTTTCCACATTCTGTTGCCTTCCACCCACTAAGGGATCCTGTTTTTCTCCAGTTTCTAGAGGAAGTGGTTTGAGACTTACTTCGGAAAGAGGCCATAGAACTTGAGGAACCTTCTCGGCCGGGGTTTTACTCCCATCTGTTCATCATACCCCAAAAGACTGGAGATTGGCAACTAGTTATAGATTTACCATCCCTGAATCATTTCCTGGTCATACCCAAATTTAGGATGGAGTCTTACTTAACCCTTCAGAGGGTTTTCATTCCGGGTAGTGTATGATGAAGAATGCCTATCTACGCATTCCCATCTCCCAGAATTTACTCTGTTTTGTTTATCAGGGGCGTGTTTATCACTTTTGGGCTCTACCATTGAGTCTAGTGTCAGCTCCTTCTGCCAATGAGTCCCATCCTTCAATTGATTGCTTCATACCAAAGGCCTTTGTTGTCACCATTACATGGACGACTGGCTACTTTTAGCTTCCTCTTTGGTCAAATATTCTGTTCATGCTCACTTTCTTTTTTGAGAGGCTATCAGGGTGGATTGGCTCATCAAGGTGGAGAAGTTGTTTCTCACACCCATACAATATGTGATTCATCTGGTTGTGTTTTTCAATTCTCTCATCAGTTGGGCCTTGCCTTCTCCCATTCATTTATGGGATATGGAATGTCTAGTTTGCAGTCTATCAGCCTCTCCCTCTCTTACTGCATGAGAGATGTTATCTCTTTTTGGAACATGGGCTTTTCTTGAAGCCCTTATCCCCCTTGGTTACATCCACATGTGTCACCTTCATTAGGTGTTACTCAACCAATGGAGCCTCATTTGGGATCTTTTAGATGCTCCTGTTACCCTGCCTTCCCACCTACAGGCCAGTTTTGTTTGGTGGTTGGAGTGGACCAATGCTACCATCAGAGTTCCTTTTCCATCTCCTCGACAAGATTGTTATCTTTTTTACAGATGCTTTCCTTTTGGGTTGTGGTGCATATCTCAATGGTCAAGAGGTTTTGAGTCATTTGACACTGACCAAATTGTCATATTACAGTCCTGATCTGTATCTGTTAGTTTGAGCCAGTTATTTTTTTTTAGTATTTAAAACAGCTACAGACATCTTCACTATAAGGCAGCATTTTCCAAACTTTTGTCATTCATGCCCCCCCTAATATATGTTGTTTTTTGCATGCCCTTCTTGTTTTTAAAATGAGTGAAAGAGTTAAGTGACAAGATACAATACATGGATACACATTAAAATGCTATGTGTGTTGTAGTAATTAATTATTATTTCCACTAATAAAAAACATGTTAAATGCTTAATTTTACATTATTGACTCTACCCTAATTGCTCACCTCTCCTCAGGGGGATCATTGTGCCCCCTTGAGGAACATGCCTCACACTTTGGGAAATGCTGCTGTAGGGTTTTCTTGACAGTAAACCTTTATTCTGTTGAGGATAATGTTATGTATTGAAATTCTGTTTGTAGCTTTCGATGTTATTAAAATCCCAATGTTACACCTTTTGTTTGTTGGACAAACAGATCTGTGTTAGTCATGTTCACTAATATCTTGTTCTAGTTAATATATGAGTTTTAGGTGTTGAATAAGCTAATCTCCAATTACTGGTATGTTCAACAACATAATCGTGAATAGCTGGACAAATCATTATGGTAGAGGAAAGCCTAAGTGGTCAATAGGCACTTTTTGTGAGAAAAATTTGTATTTAACTCAAAAATATTTTACTATCATAGACCAACTGCTATATTAATGTATTTTAACTTTTTGATATTTTGCCATAGACAATGAAGAAAAAGTTTTTTGTACTGAAGACTGATTCAACTGATGGTCCTGCAAGGTTGGAATGTTATGACACAGAAAAGAAATGGCGAATGGGTACTCCACCCAAACGAAAAATTGCCATCAAGACCTGTTTCAACATTAACAGAAAATTAGATGCTCGCCAGAAGTTTGCAATTGCATTGTATACTAAAGATGATTGTTTTGGACTGGTTGCCGACAACCAGTTAGAGATGGAAAAATGGATTAATGCTCTTTTGGAGCTCCAACATAATGGGTGTGAGGAAGATAAGGATGCTAAACCAAAGCCCCATTTTGGTAAGTTGCTTACAAGTTCTTCGTCTGTGAAAACCTTTCTTTGTGGTAATGCTTGGTTGGGTTTTATATTTAACTTTGTGAATTTGACAAAAAAAATATCACTGTACATGACAAAATACCACTTTCCTTTATGACAGTGGGACTGATGTACCTACCTTAACACAAGATATCACTGTACATAACAAAATACCACTTTCCTTTATGTCAGTAAGACTGATCTACCTACCTTAACACAAAACATCACTGTCCATAACAAAATACCTCTTTCCTTTATGTCAGTAGGGCTGATGTACCTACCTTAACACAAAACATCACTGTCCATAATAAAATACCACGTTCCTTTATGTCAGTAAGACTGATGTACCTACCTTAACACAAGATATCACTGTCCATAACAAAATACCACTTTCCTTTATGTCAGTAGGACTGATGTACCTACCTTAACACAAGATATCACTGTCCATAACAAAATACCACTTTCCTTTATGTCAGTAGGACTGATGTACCTACCTTAACACAAGATATCACTGTACATAACAAAATACCACTTTCCTTTGTCAGTAAGACTGATGTACCTACCTTAACACAAAACATCACTGTCCATAACAAAATACCACTTTCCTTTATGACAGTAAGACTGATGTACCTACCTTAACACAAAACATCACTGTCCATAACAAAATACCACTTTCCTTTATGACAGTAAGACTGATGTACCTACCTTAACACAAAACATCACTGTCCATAATAAAATACCACGTTCCTTTATGACAGTAAGACTGATCTACGTTATGGACAGTGATATCTTGTGTTAAGGTAAAAATACCACTTTCCTTTATGTCAGTAAGAACTGATGTACCTACCTTAACAAAAATATCACTGTCCATAACAAAATACCACTTTCCTTTATGTCAGTAGGATTGATGTACCTACCTTAACACAAGATATCACTGTCCATAACAAAATACCACTTTCCTTTATGACAGTAAGACTTAAGGTAGGTACATCACACAAAACATCACTGTCCATAACAAAATACCACTTTCCTTTATGACAGTAAGACTGATGTACCTACCTTAACACAAGATATCACTGTCCATAACAAAATACCTCTTTTCTTTATGACAGTAAGATTGATGTACCTACCTTAACACAAAACATTACTGTCCATAACAAAATATCTTGTGACAAGATAATATTGTATCAATATAATTATATTAATATTTGATCCTGTCGGAGATGCTGTAACAGTTTGTTTGTAGAATCTAATAATATAATGTTTATTTTAATCTTCAATTTTATGGAAACTTCGGTATTGTTTTGGTTGTTATAATGCGCACCAGGGGGGGGGGATTCTGTAACAGTATGATTGTAGATACGTGTCCTAAAATTGTTGATGTACGAAATCAACAACAATTCGAAAACGTGGCTGAGATTTTAAAAAGTTATTCAATATTCTACTCAGTATTCATTATTTTATTTTACATATAAGCATTGAGACAATAATAAATAAGTTATTTATACATATCGATCTGGTTTGGACAATCCATCAGTAAAATAGTATGTTTATTTTTATTGATGCTGAATGAAGGTAATGCAGCCGTTTTTAATATACATAGCGTGATCTTTCTGACTATGAAAAGCGCACGTGCTATTCGAGTTTTTACCAAATAGTTTGAAGGCGTTTATTTTCTTGGAATTTGAAGAGACAGAGATTACGACGGTTACTGTTAACTGATGAATGACTTATGTAGTTGTATGTTGTTTACTCCGTTCCGTGACGTCACCAGCCAAGGTTATGCCTGCGTTTCACTTTACCGAATGTATCGATCTGGCGCGGGTAGTTACTGCCACAGGATAAGACATTGTCATAGCAACGGCCTCCAAACGACAAGCCAAGACATGTAAAACAACATTTTTAGTGGAAGTCGGCAAACTGAAACTTAACGCTGTCAATATTACACCAATAAAAAATACCGTTCTTCCAAAAGAATAATGCATATTATATGCAGTTTCTAACATAACACCATGTTTCATTATGTCGAAACTTGTTCTTAAAAAACACAATAACAAATGGCGATTTACTTCGAACAAAACCATAAAAAGAGTAAAATTAAATAAATTTTCTAATGCCAAATATGGAGACAAACCTTAAAATCAATATCAAAAAATATCTTGAAGAAAATAAGCCCAGTTTAAGAAAGTTTTTGTTATTAGTTTTATTTATGAAGAAATATATTAAAAAGAAACATCAGAAACAATACTTTATGTTTATAGATGCAATATGTTAAACAGTTTTTTATTAATGATTAATTCATTATTCATGACAATGTATGCTTTTTGTCGTTTTGACAAAAAATAATTCAACTTGGTACAAACACACTGTTGTAAAAAAGAGTCATTGTGAAGTTTATCAAGTCACAAAACATTATTTATATATAATAGCAATTCACAATTTTTAACCATTCACAACAACAGCAATGTAAAATAGTTAACTGGAAGATTTGACCTCTAACAACAGTTACCTACAGGAGTAATTCATAGATTTAACTTCTCACAATGTTTATGTAAGAGTAATTCACAGATTTAACTTCTCACAACAACAGTTACCTACTTGAGTAATTTATAGATTTAACTTCTCACAATGTTTATGTAAGAGTAATTCACAGATTTAACCTCACACAATGTTTATGTAAGAGTAATTCACAGATTTAACCTCTCACAATGTTTATGTAAGAGTAATTCACATATTTAACCTCACACAATGTTTATGTAAGAGTAATTCACAGATTTAACTTCTCACAATGTTTATGTAAGAGTAATTCACATATTTAACTTCTCACAACAACAGTTATGTAAGAGTAATTTACAGATTTAACCTCTCACAATGTTTATGTAAGAGTAATTCACAGATTTAACCTCTCACAACGTTTATATAAGAGTAATTCACAGATTTAACCTCTCACAATGTTTATGTAAAAGTAATTCACGGATTTAACCTCTCAAAATGTTTATGTAAGAGTAATTCACAGATTTAACCTCTCACAATGTTTATGTAAGAGTAATTCACAGATTTAACTTCTCACAACAGTTATTTATAATAGTAATTCAGAAATATAAATATTTCCAAACAAAAGTATGTGTACTTGTATAACAACAGTGTGTGTGTACATGTGTATAACAACAGTGTGTGTGTACATGTGTATAACAACAGTGTGTGTGTACATGTGTATAACAACAGTGTTATACACATGTACACACACACTGTTGTGTGTGTGTACATGTGTATAACAACAGT